AATTGTTTCGTAAACGCATCCTAAATACCAATTGTTAAATAATAGGACTCATCACAAAACAAGAATAAAGGTGCTGATATAGAATACGAGAATGCTTTTGATCTAACACGCAAGCTTGATAACATAGGTAAATATCAGCTTTAAAATTAAATTGACTGTTTGACATAATAGTGCGTATTTAAATGTTTCGCAGCTGTAGATATCGATAAGCAATTTAGGTATGCGGTGTGGGTTTCGTACGTAGAGATTTATAACGAAAAAATATATGATCTTTTGGAAGACCCTGGAAGCACCAAGCAGCCAGACAGTAAACGAAAGGCATTGATGGTAAAAAATGATAAGCGGACGGGAAATAAGTATCTTAGCGATATTAAAGAAGTTAGAATACGCAATGTAGAAGTAAGTTTATGTGCTTGTCATTTGACGTAATTTTCGCTGTATGTTTAATTATTTCACAATCTTTAGGATGGATATGCTGTACTTAAGCAAGGAATGAAAAATAGACAAATTTTCTCAACTCTGGCTAATGAAACTTCCAGTAGAAGCCATTGCATATTTATGATAAAGATAATTAAGATACCACATGATAAAGATATTACTGCCACAGAGGTAAATTCAACTAAAGTTACATGCGCAACAATTTATTACGGGAAGGTGAATTACAAAAATTATTTTTGTAAAGTTATCGTCGTCCCTTGTCGTAACAAGTCGGTTGTCAATAGTTGACCTTGCGGGCTCAGAACGGACAAAAAATGTGCAAACAACAGGTAATATATTATAAGACAGTTTTAATATCAAACTTATTGACCATTTATTGAATTAGGTACGAGACTGAAAGAAGCCGGAAACATCAATCGATCGTTAATGGTTTTAGGGCAGTGTCTTGAAATACTAAGAGCGAATCAGGCGCGACCAAAGGGTCAAAAGGTTAATTTGTTATACTACTTAGTCACTTATTATACTTCTGTGTACAATATAGCTCATTATTTATTCTGATTATTTACAGCATATTTTGGTCCCTTATCGTCATAGTAAATTGACGGAATTATTTCAGAGTTCATTTGCTGATGGTGAATCTGTATGTGATAAAGACACATCTTTAGAAATCTGCTAAATTATATTTTAACACTTTAATTTATCCTTAGGTTATGATTGTTAACATTAATCCAGTCGATACAGGCTTTGATGAGAATATGCAAGTTATGAAATTTTCTGCAGTGGCAAAAGACGTTTGTACCTCATTAAAGAATATTTCAAGCCATTATGGATATAGAGGCACATTACTTTTTACACCCGATAAGAAATTTGGAAAAGGTAAGAAGGTAATGACAGGATTCAATAAATTCGATACTTATTCATTTTAACTCTTACATTTATTGGGCTTTAGAAAATAAAACTTGTGATATCAGCGATTCAAAGTCGGAAGATAATTATGACCCATTAATTAACATGCTTTTTGCACAAATAGAAGATCTTCGCGAAAAAGTATTTGACTTGTACCATACCTTGTTCTTGCTATAGATAGTCAATGTAGTTATAATATAATCATTTTTCACATTTTATAGTGGATTAGTGCGGAGACGCGCTGTGGTGATCTAAAGCTTGAAATCCGCGAACAAGTCTCAGATGAGCTAGCTGTTCATATGTCAAATATGGGAAAGAAATATATGGATCAGGTAAATATTCAAGTTCACATTATTGTAATTAAATTTAATATATTTTTGTATTTATAAAGCTTGCATGATCGTTCTGCAGCAAATTTTAACAGAGTCTCTAGAAAGGCAAATGGAAATTATTCGTCGGGATACTCATTCTACTGTACAAAGTGGTATACAATCTTATTTGATTATAGTAGTTAATTGTTTAAAATATTTTATCTGAATCAAATCTATAATTATAAGGTGCCTTTTATTACCAGTTCTCTAGTAATCTAATTGATAAGGTAACAATTAGCAGATATTCAAACTATGATAATCAGTACAGAAACTATCGCCGTGTAACACTAATATTACATGATTTGGATTTACCAAATAATTTTGGTAATATTAATAACACCTACTGAGTGTGTCTCATATTCCTTTATATTTTCATTGAAAGTTGCAATCAGAAATACAGGAATTAGAAAATGATGTCGAAAAGTTGGAAAATAAATTAAGCATTTGTGCTTCTTTGCTCAATGATAAAGATACGCTTATTGAAAAACTTCAATTTGAAAATAAAGAGTTAGAGAGACAGGTTAATGTTTTGAATTTATGTACGTCTATACAAATATATACTGACTTAAAATTTATTATAATTTAATCAAGATTCTTTATATTGCACAAAAATTGGATTATGTTGATATTGAAATCGAAGAACCCAATTCAACTGAACAAGAACCGAATGCAGTAAGAATGTTCGGATGTCACATTAATTATTATTGCTTCATACCACATGATTTAGCTTCTGTTGTCCAAACAGGTGAATATTAATCAAATTTCCGAAGAATCTAATTTAAAGGAAGCTGAAGATTATCTTTTCACAAAGCAAGAATGTATTGACAGAGTAGGAATATATTTGAAGATAATGATTGGTTATGTGGATTATGTTATAAAGTTATATGGTAACAAGTAGTGTCGGGTATTTAGTTATACACATTAAATACAGATGATATTATTGAGGAGTACGATGAAGAGGCAAAGAGTAATGTCAGTGATATTTCAATAGCTATCTATGAGCCAAATGAAATTAATCTTCAACAAGAGGAGGAGGATCCACCCAGGAAGAGAAGGTAAATTTGCAATTAAAAAAAAAACATTGAAAAAATATAATATTAAATGAGTTATTTTCTATCATTAAGGAAATTGCGAAATAAGAGGACTTATTTCGAGACGGAGATCGAAGAAAATCTCAACCAGGTATGCATGTTGTTTATTTGCATATTTACGGCATTATAAATTGAAAATTGGCTTCAATTTGTGCAGGTGTCGCCACCTAAAATGAAGTTGGTATCGAGCAGTAGAAATAATAATCGATTAAGGAATGATCGATCATTTGATTGGTTTAATCGTGACCGATTATAAAAAGTTTTTTTGAGCATAGTCGGTTGATAAATGATTGAATATATTCGATCATTTAAATCGACATTCTGATATTATGCATCACTCGTATTATATTCTTCACAATATACACATTTATCACAATTCGAATCTTTATAATCGTCAATTGTATTATTAATTATTTCACGTTATTATTCATGTGGCTCATAAATTTAAAAAGCAAATAACTGTTATGCTTAGACTAATCAACACGAATAAAGTACACTTGGTCAAAAAAATGTTACCTGCCGGTTAACCGGTGATCGACAAGTAAGTAACCATGGCTGTCTGGGGTGTGGAATTTTTTTATACGTAGTAAAAATTTTTAAGATCTTCACGCAATATTAAAGACTATAGGAAAATCGATCTCTTTCGTTTTTAATTCCTCCCGAAATATTTAGTATTTCTTAGTTATATAAACGCAAAACGTTTAATTAAAGATGCATTTATATAGTAACAATTTTAGAATTTTACTTATCTTTTAGAAACTAAGTTTGCTTTGTAAATTTGGGTTCAATAAAAATCAACTAGGTTAATAGTTTTGATCAATTAGTTTTGTTAAATGTAATAAAGTATATTTAAAAAGGTATTTATTGATTTTATAAATATAATATTACAAGGATGGTGATTTTAGTGTAATGGTTGGGTTGCTATTTTTCAAGTGGCAGCTCTAATGTTTAAATCTTATTTATAATGAAATTTGAAAATTACTTTGTTAATTGGTTGGTCTTATATGATTGTAATTCAGATATATCAAATCTAGTTACTTGAAAGCTTAGAGCATCTATGTAAAGTATAATGTTACATATATATAAAGGAATATTTATTGATGTTGCATAAGATTTTAATACAAATCTGTATAAAATCATTAATTGTAAATTATTAAAAAATTAAGACAACAAAAACCTATTTGAAAATTCTTAAATAAAAAGATAGTATAAATTTTTAACAATATTATTAAACTAATTAATGTTTACAAATTATCATTAAAGAACAAATTGGATAAATTAGATGTAAAATATGTGTAAAAGAATACATAACTAATCAGATTATCAGATTTATTAGAAAAAAAATATATATAAGTATATTATACTAGGTTATTTGAATTGGTAATCAGATTAGAGTTTGTTAATTTTAAGTAGTAGTTAGTAAGAAAGATGAAAAAATATCAGAAAAGTAGATATTAAAGGTTTTAGTAAACATTAAAAAGATAAAAATAATATAATGTAGTAGTTAAATAAGTAATTTTTGTAATTGTAAATATTAGATAATTATAATATATTGTATAAAACTAGATTAATTATATATAGAATATGATAAATTTTAGTAAATCTCTTGTTAAGAATAAAGTAGTTTTAAGAATATTAATAAGAATCAAGAATTTGAATAAGCTGTATTCTAAAAATGTTTTTGTGATACAAGATAAATTGTATATATAAAAGGTTTAAATAAACAAGATTTGTAATTGGCTTACAGTTATAATATTTAGTATAAAACTTATATATATATATATATATATATATTTTATTATAAGTAGTTATGCTAGTAGTTTATTAAAATTTTGAAATTACTATTGTAATTACATAAATATACCTAACAACTAAGCCTAATATTACCTAGCTACCTTAATGGCACCTAAGTGCAACCTGTCATATTACCTTCAGCAGAGATAAGCTGCTTGTTTAACTACTTAAAGTTTATAATAAAAGAGTTTTTCTTCTTCTATAACAAGTTCCCAAACTGTCTTTTTAACTTTCTCATTAATTCATTTTTCTTTTTTTTTCTTTTTTCTTACTACTAGTCTTTTTCTTCTTACTTGAATTTCTCTTTTTCTTCTGTTTTTTTTTATTTTATTTTATTTATTATTTTTCTTTATTTTTCCTATATATTAACTTTTTTATAGTGTATTTTTCAAACTTATTCATAGAATATATTAATGCTATTTTTGTTACTATGTTTATAAACTGTTGTCTTGTTTTTGTACTTAAGAGTTGTGATAATCTGTCCTAAATTGCTTTTGAAATTAGATCTTTAATTAGTGATTTTCTTATTTTTATTTTATTTCATTCTGTTTTTCCAAAAAGTACTATATTTAATATATAAGGTAGAATCCAGGTTTTTTCTTCTTTTTTTAAACTTTTTTATACTATTGTAATAAATATTTTTTGTATTCTTTTTTATAAGTTTGCTTATTTCTTATAAGATACTAAATGTTTTTATATTTCTTTGACTTTGTTTTAACAAACTTGATATTCTGCTGTTGTATATATATTTAACTTTTTTTTATTAAGTTCTTCTAAAGTTAAAAGTTTGTTTAATATACATTTCATAAAAACACTTCTTCTTATATTGCTTCTTCTTATCAAACAATATATCCTTTTAGATAATTTCAGTCTTCTTCAAAAATATATCTAATCATAAATTTTTGTTTCTGTTACTGATTCTATATTCTTGATTGCTATTGTTTTTTTTTACTCTATTTCCAATCTGGTATTTGTTACTATTTTATATAGAAGTCTTGCTAGTAGATCTATTTATTTATTTTTTTATTTTAGGCATATCAGCAAAAATTATAGGCTGATATATATCAATTATTATTTATATAGATATATATCGATAATAATCCTCCTGTTGGGTTATATTGATTGAGATAAACATTAATATATAGTCATTATAACAGAAAATTGCTATTAATTGATTATATAAAAAATCTGATATATATCGATATTTATCAAATAAATTTTATACTACTAATTTATAACAATAAAGCAACAATGATGCTATTTTTAAAAATACTTAAAGCAATAACTGGTTTTATTTATTTTTATTTTTTTATTTTTTTTTGTTAAGGCCATACTTGTGGCGATACTTTATTGACTTTTATTAGGTTAGCTATTACAACTATTTTTTACAGAGATGAGAGT